AAAACTTTGCTTCTGAAATCAAAATGTAAAGGAGAAATGTATCCGCTGAATCTGAATCCCTTCAAATGGAAGCCAACAATTTGCTTACTTGCGATAGCTTCAACTGATGATAGCTGGCTATGGCACAGGAGACTCTCGCATCTCAATTTTAAAGATATCAACAAGCTTGTTCTTGGTGATCATGTGTGAGGATTACCACTCCTGAAATTTGACAAAGAACATCTTCGTGCAGCTTGTGAAATGGGAAAATAGAACCGGAAGAGTCATCGAACCATTATGAATACGAAAGTCATTGAACCACTTGAACTTTTGCATATAGACCTTTATGGTCATTCTGCAATTGAAAGCATTGGTGGTAATAGATATATTCCCATAATTGTAGATGATTTTTCCAGATTCACTTGTGTGTATTTTCTTAAGATGAAATCTAAAGCCACTCCAAAGCTCAAGGATTTCATAAAGCAGATAGGGCTTCAAATGCGAAAGCTGGTTCATAATGTTAGCAGTGACAACGATCTAGAATTCAAAAACCAATCATTTGAAGAATTCATGATTGCGAAAGGAGTAACTCACAATTTTTTAGCTCCTTATACTCCTCAACAAGATGGGGTAGTTAAAATACGAAACCGTCCATTGTGTGAAGCTACAAGGACCATGTTGTCATTGGCGAATCTGCCACTTTATTCCTGGGCGAATATAATAGGAACTGCTTGCTTTACTCAAAACCGATCCCTTCTCAATAAGCGATTCTTTGTCACCCCATACGAAGTTATAGATAAACGAAAACCTAATGTTATGTTTTTCCATGTTTTTGGTTCTAGGTGCTTTATCTTCAACTCGAAGGAACAAAGGAACAAATTCGATGTAAAAGCTGAGAAGGTATCTTCCAGAGGTATTATCTAACTTCTAAAGCATATCGTGTTCTTAAAAAAAGATCCAAATGGATTGAGGAAACCTAATATGTTACGTTCTATGATAATTACATGAAGAAGCTTCAGAAAATGACAGTCAACCGAAGGAAATCTTTCCAAAGTCGAATCCTACTACCATCCCACTCTCCAATCTTTACGAGGAGTTCCTGAACTTATTCGATGAGCCAGAAAGGGATATCTCCTTAGAGTCCAATGAATTCAAGAAAATCATTGATGATGCTGCAAAAGAAATGGAACAAGAAAATACCACTACAAAAGATCCTAATGTTCCAATTCAACCCTCGGATGCGGATGTTACATTGGAAGGGGAGGGTTCTACTTCAACCTCCACATCTGATAGACCTGTTCAGGGTGAGAATGAGACCCCTAATGTTAGCTTAAACCTACCTTTTCAATAGGAGAATCCGAATCCAAAAGATGATATTCATACATCATTCAAGGGGGAGAATAGAAATGCGAATGATGATTCGGATGTACAAGTAGAGTTTGAAGAAGTAAATGTCAAATTGGATCCATCATATGATCCAAATTGCCCTCCATTGGCTAAATGTACCAAAGATCATCCGAAAACTCAAGTCATAGAAGATTCGTCTTCAGGTGTTCTTACAAGATCTCAACAAAAAGCGAAACATACTGCATTATTCTCCAAAACGGAATTTTGTATGTTTAATTCGTTCATATCCAAGATTGAACCTAAAACCATTAATGTTGCTCTTGATCATTCTGATTAGGTGCAAGCAATGCAGGATGAGCTCAATGCGTTTGAACAAAATAAGGTTTGGAGGTTGATTCCCACTCCACCGGATGCATCTTTAGTTGGTCTAAAGTGGATGTTTCGTAACAAACTGGACAAAAAGGAAAACATGATCAGAAACACGACGAGACTTTTTGTCAAGGGGTATTGTCAGGAAGAGGGAATTGACTACGAAGAAACCTTCGCACCTGTTGCTAGGTTGGAAACTGTTCACATCTTCTTGGCATATACAACGCATAAGAACTTCGAAGTATTTTAGATGGATGTCAAATGTGCATTCTTGAACAGGGAAATTGAAGAGACAGTGTATATGGAACAACCACTGAGCTTTATAAACGAGAAGTATCCCAAGAATTGTTACATACTAGACAAAGCAATTTATGGTCTGAAGCAAGCTCCAAGATCCTGGTACGAAACTCTCACTCATTTGTTAAACATGACTAAATTTAAACAAGGTTCGGTTGACCCAACCTTCTTTCGCAAGAAAGATAGTGACCGCTTGATGATGGTCCAAATTTATGTCGATGACATCATCTTCAGATCAACTAACCCCAACTTAACAGTTGATTTCCAAAAGTTGATGGAGACTAAATTTGAGATGAGCTCCATGGGTCCAATTAACTTTTTCCTGGGTTTGAACATAACACAAAGTCAAGAAGGTATCTTCATCAACCAGGAGGCATATATGAAGACCTTACTTGCTAAGTTTGGAATGGTCGGAGACTCAAAGGTGAAGGTTCCAATGGCATTCGGAATGAAACTCACTCTATATCTGGATAAGCTGGATGCCAACATGACACTCTATCGTCAAATGATAGGTTCTTTAATGTATCTAACTGCTAGTCATCCATATACCATGTTTTCTTTTTGCTATTGTGCTAGGTTTCAATAAAATCCTCGCGAACCTCACATGACTGCTATCAAGAACATATTCTTGTATCTAAAACGAACATCTTCACTTGGAATATGGTACCAATCAAAATCAAGTTTCTTTGTGCAAGCATTTTCGGATGTTGATCTTGGAGGATGCTGTTTAGATCGAAAGAGCACAACTGGGGGATGCCAATTTCTTGATGGCAAACTCGTTAGTTGGAAATCCGAAAAGAAAACCTGCGTTTCCTTGTCAACAATAGAAGTTGAGTATATTGCTGATACCTCTTACACTTCGCAAGTCATATGGATTCAGAGCAAACTTCGTGACTATGGTGTAAATATGAAGCGAATCCCTTTATACTGCAATCTGAAAGCGCTATTCACATTTGTCACAACCCAGTGCGACACTCAAAGACGAAACGCATAACACTGAGGTATCATTTCATCAAAGATCGCGTGGAGGATGGAAATGTCGAGATTCACTTTGTAAGATTCGCTGATCAGTTAGCCGACATCTTCACGAAAGCCTTACTTGAACAATCATTCAATCGTATTCTTCAAGGCTTAGGAATGATAGAGGCTGAATCCATTCCAAAACCACTTTCGCAGTTATAAGTATTTGACTGACTTGCGAACTGGTGCGAACGCTCGCGGTGATTCGCAGTTATCTTTTATCCTGTGAATCGGTGTGAACGCTCACAGTGACTTGCAACCAACTGTTCACACTATGAATTGGTGCGAATGTTTCCAGTAACTCATAATCTTCAATTCATTCGTGTTTTGTAAATTTCTTGTATCCTTTGTACATTCCCCTTATTTATTCCCATTTATTTTTGTTTTTATTTAATATTTTTTTTAAAAAAAATCCAAAAATATTTTATTTGTTTCTATTATTCTTTATTTTTTAGAATATCAAAAATACAAAAAATATTACATTGTTGAGCAGGATTGAAGATTCATATCATGTTGATCTCAATTATGAATGATGGGGCATGTATAAATTCTGAAGCTTTGCAATAGTTAAGTTTCCCTAGAAGCATGTTGCTGCATGATGTCCAAAGCCTTAATGACTCTATGTTGAAGCCTTAATGATTCGATAACACCAATCTTTTCTTCCCAATTCAGTTGTTCATTCGCATAAGTCTCAAGCTACCTTACTCTTCTCATTATGAGTTAAGAGTTCGTTGCTTGGTCATTTTCATATAGTAGAGGTACACTATTTTCTTTGGAACCACCTCATACTATTGTCATCACTTACGCATTCACTAATGTAACCCTATAGACTCTTAGATATTACCACTGAGGATTATGATTACACAAATTTTGTATTTATGATCTTCAATTCATTATCACCACACATTGAGTGAAACCCAAAATCCAACACACTTTAATGAATTGACAATAAACAACTAATTGTTCTAGACTTTTCACCAACGAATTAACTTAGCTCCACTTTCGTTGTCTGTACCAATAAATCTTTTTTTTTGCAAGATCTTAATGAAATGTTCTAGACCTAAGACGTTTCTACCCAATAGACCCCATTTTTATTTTTCTTGAGATTTCTATGAGAATCCTTGTCACTTAAAATAATTGCAAAGCATACTTGTTCAATTGATTACACTGGTCAAACAAGTACTTCATCCGAATGTTCGGACTTATATCAAGTTTCGGAGTTTGGTTGGAGGTGAAGCCACCCTATAAGCTTTATAAAAGATACCATTCACTGTTTCTTATTAAGCAACTGATCGTAGCTCAACGGGAAACCACACAGACACTTCTTAGTCTCTTTTGACTTCGAAGGAAGTGATCTTTGACCGGGATCCACTACTTTGTGTCTCTACAAGAGATCACTAATACCCCAAAAAATTTTGATTTATTTCTTATATATGGCACACTATCACACGAAGATCCTTGTGATTTTCCAAAGTCCGGTTTATGGTAATCATGATTAATTTCAGTTTCGCAGATCAATTAATAATGTTTCACTGTGAAGGTTCATATCTGCACTGGATGTGAAAAGGGCTTATAAGGATTAATTGCAAAAGATAGTAATTAAATCAATTGCAAAACGGTGATGCTGACACGACAATTTCTCATGGATAAGAATTCAAATAGGCACGTGAAATTTGAAACGAAGCCTGATTTTCCGCCGACTGACACACATGTCTGACGTAATAGTTGTCAATCATGCCTTTTTAGGCACGTTTTCAGTAACCGATGCAACCAATTGGCCGATTTTGCTCACCTACTACTTCGTATAAATAGATTTTGATGCTTCATTCCTTAATTACTACTCTCGAAAGGCAAACAAATCCTCTGCCAATTAAATACAACTGTTCATCGTCTTCTTCATCAAGCTTCAATGGCAGCTTCTTCAGAGACAACCTCAATCGCAAAAAATGTGGCCCAATCACCTCTTCTCACCCTGAAAGAAAATAAAAATGATTCGTGATCTTGATTCGAAGAAGTATGACGGGTTTCTCCAGTTAATTGTTGAGTGCCTCAGGTATTCTCCTCTAGTCATAACTCTTACCAAGTCTGAGTGTCTTCCACTAGTTCATCTCTCAAAAGCCTTCTCTATTTCTAGTTATCAAAAAAGGGAAGAGGTAGTCACATTTGAACTCCACAACCATAAAACCCAAATCACAAAATCAAGATTTTGTCAACTACTTCGACTTCCTTAGGTTCGTGACCAAGTTGATACTAAGAGCGTTTCAAATTCATTGATTCTTGAGATGTTCTTCTAGATGGGCTACAAGGAATCCATCAGTGCTATTTCCAAGTTTAAAAAGCCTAACCTGCCGCCGATGTGGAACGGCTTATTTACGCTGCTCTTCAAAAGCTTCTCTAAATGGGTTACAGGTTCGGATTGTGCAAGCAAGCTCTTCATGACCCTGATGTACGACATCTATTCCAGCATCAACTTGGACTACTAATCCATTCTCTGGGCACAATTCATACAAATCACACTATCAACCACTCAACACAGTGAAATATCCTATGCTCGCTTTTTCTCCATAGTCGTTCAAAGGGAGATCAACAAGTTTGACATCCCTTATCCAAAAGGTTCGGCTCTGGATTCCATCTAAGTCTTCCAGACAACGAACATCATTCTCACCGACAACACAAAATTTGCCTTTATCAGTTTAATTCCAGAAGTGATGCTTCGTGATATTCCGACACCAAGCAAGACTTTGCAAGCGTATCGCAGTTTTCCCCTTTCAGGCTTTCGCCCCTTGACAAATGATATGCGAAAGGTCCTTGAAGAGGCGGATAAACCCAAGATGGGAGGGAAGAAGAAAGGCATGAAGGTTGGTACGTTTGAACCAACTTCGTCTCCAAAGAATAGTGCAAAATGAAAGTCAGAAGCTAAACAACCTAAAGCTCCTAAGAAAACGAAAGTCAAGATTATGGCACGTAAACCTCGAACTTCGCGCGATCATGTGGATTCACACTCCTATACAGTTTTGGAGGTTCTTATTCAAACCGAGGTTCGGAATGAAGAAGATGTTTCTTCTCACCCTAAGGTTTCGAAGCCTGCAACTACGATTCCTGAGGTATCAACTACAATCCCAACTTCTGTTCCCACACATGAAGTTTTTTCTAAAGTTTTTCTATCCCTTCTCCCACTGGCACCATTTCCACTCCTAATTCGATTGCCCCATGACCACCGGTTTCATTAGGTGTCTCGCAATCCGAACCTCCTTTTCTCAATGATTCCACTACAATCACCACTACTTTCACTATTGATCCTCCAGTAACTATCAACACATTTGATACGGGGGCAAGTGCTTCGGGATTTACAGTTGGTCATATCTTTCCAACCATCTCTCCTTTCCGCCAGGATGATCCAGACGCTATATTTGGTGGTGATTATGACCACTTCACAGGATTTACTTACAGTCCTTTTAACATTCAGACTAAAAGTGATGACGAAGCTCCCGTCACAAGAGGGCAACTCAATGCAATTAATGAAAAACTAGATTTGTTGCTTTAGTCTTAAAAGGATTCCTCTACTGAAGATTATTCACAAGCGACCATCAAATCGTTCCTTGAGGCCCATACGAAAGAGCATTCTGCCAACCTTGAGAAGACAAACAAGGCGGTTGATACATCTACTTCTGTGTGCAACCAAACGAACGAAAAAGTTGATAAACTAATTATAGATGCTCGTGCTTTCATTGAGAAATTCTAGACCTCCTTTGAGTCCAACACCGTGAAGGCTAATGAGGTTATTTCCAGCCTTGGCTAAACTCTCAAAATAGATAAAGCAAAACTTGAAGGAGTTTGCATTGGTCTTCAATCTGATCATGCTGAGTTCAATTGTTCTATCTCCTCGAAGATCACAAAGCTTCAGGATGACTTAGCCATCGGGATCAAAATCATGGATGCACTTGCTGTAAAGATTGAGAAGGTGAAATTCTTGACAGTCAAGTTAGAAAATTCTAAAAAAACTACTCAATGATCTCTTATCTGAGAGATCAACTATGAAAAGTTGTATAGCAGATGTCAACGGACTGGTTTCAGATACTATTGAGACTCGTGATTCCATGATTACAATAACAGTCAAGAAGCAACTTTCAAAAAAACTGAGGCCCATCTTTCCCATGCTTAACCGTTTATAGGGTGTTTTAGAATTTGGCTCCATTCCGAAACAAGGGGGAGAAGAAGGAAAACAATCTAAAAAGGAAAACCCAAAGCATTCTGTCAAATCTACTGTTAAGCCCAAAAGCGAAACCGAACCAAAAGGAAAAGAAAAGCCTTTCAGTGAAGAACCAATTATTGGTAACAACGAAGATGAAGAGCCTGATGAGAATGATCTGAAAATAAGAAAGGAGCGTGAAGCTTAGTTGGATGAACATCATAGAATTATTTGTGATGTTGAAGAAAAGGAAAAAGCTGAACGTGAAGCTCAGGTTGCATTGGAAAGCCAAAAGCACTTGTTTCCAGTGTGGACCTTGAAGCGAATCCTAAATGAAGATGTTGATATGCCAAGTATGTAATTGTTGGAACCAATTGTGTCATTCGATATTTAGAATACACAAGATTTACAACTGGACCTTCCAACCACTTCGAAAGCCTTCAGGTTTCACAACTTTGTTAAAGTTGCGAATGTTCCAGAAACAGATATTGGTGCAGATCACTTACTCTTCTCCTTCTACCTCAAGCATATGAAGCCACAATACGAGACATGGAGTGCAATCAAGATTACAGTTGTAAAGGTTACTGGTCCAATCGAAACTGACAACTTCCTTAATACGAAGTTTAAGGTTGTGAGAAGTTCGTCCAGCCAGGTTTGCGAATTCACCCTCACTGATCTGTCATGCCTGAACCCATATGATTGGATCGTACTTTACAACTTTTTGCTGAGGGATGGATAAAAGTATGAGCTTGTCATTGCTCACCTCAAGCCGATAATAATTTCTTACATTTATGAGGTTGGGTAGATGGACATTGAATTTGTTGTTGTTTTATGAAAGAAGTCGAGTGTACTCCCCAAAGATAACTTTGATGGTTTTGACAAGATGAAACTTGGAAAGATACAAAAGATCGGATGGTGTGTGGTTTTTCAACTGATGGATCAAAATGATGCAGACTTTAAAAAATGTTTGTTTCTTTCTCAGCAACAAACATTTATACACCACTTCGTGTCTTGAGTATATCTTGGATTTTGTCTAAAAGTAACAGGGTAACAGAAAAGGTGACAAGAATTGCTTCTCGGATATGATTCAATGGTATATACAAGTTCGTAATGTTCTGATGAGCGTCATTCCGAAAGTCTTTGAAGTGCAAAAGTGAACCCAGTCGTGAAGTACTCTCACCTCAATCGATGCAAAGGGGGAGATTGTTGAGTATTTTAGTGTTGTGTCTTTTGGTCCTTTTGCTTAGTTTTATGTATATCCGGGTTGGGCTTGTCCACCCATGTTTAATGATTAGGGTTTTACTATTTAAGGTGCATGCATGCATCATATGCAAGGTAATCGTATCATTGTAAACCCTACACAACCTCTACAGTAGCAATTCTTCATCGAGCTCTTCTGAGGCTGTGACTTTTAATCATTCGACATATTGTTGATTCATATTCTGTTTTTTTATTGCTTTACTTGTTTGAATATAATCTATCTTAAGAGTTTTTAACTCATCATACTTTATTTTAGTTAGGTGTTACAAGTTAGTATTCGAGCAGAGGTTTTAGTGAAATTGGGTTTTAAATGATCTTTTACCTAAAACTTAAACCAAAATAAATGAGTTGAGATGGGTACTCCACACCATATGTATGCTTGTGATGAGTAATATATAAATGACGATTTGATATAAATACAATGATAATCATAATTTATATTATGAAATTGAACTAAATGGTTGAAAACTTTATTTACGATGGTGGATACCTATAACAAATGTGGATTGCATGGAAGGGGTGGTTCTTGTGGTGGACAAGAAAGATCACAAGGCCTTGTACGTCAAGGAGAACATCAAATAGCACCCGAAAACCCACCCAAAATCTTAGAACAACAATTTTTTTAAAGGTAGCTAAATCCCTTCGAGATGTATTACCTACATTCCTTGATTATCGAGAAGAGTCAAATCAGAAACAAAAGCAAGAGTAGACCCCGATAGTTGTCAATAAAGAGAAATAAGATAAGACTGGATGTGAGGGTGGAAAGGGGAAAACTTCTAATAAGATATGAAGTACTTTTAAGGAATTAATGGAATGGTAACCCACAATGTTTTTGGGATGAGATGATCCAATGGTTGTCATGATGTGTTTGACATGAGAAGAAGTGTCATACTAGAAAATGTGTGGAGAAAGATAAGGTGGATTACGACACTAATATGCTAAGTAAAGTAGCTCATTACTGATGGGATATGATCGATAATACTCTGGGTGAAGAGTTGGTGAGCATATTGACCAGGGAGAAATTTAAAGTAAAATTATGTGAAGAGTGTTATTCCTAAACTACAGTCTGACAATTAGAGCATGAATTCTTCCAACATTCAAGGTCAAAATTTGTTCAAGAGTATACCATTGAATTTAATGATTAGGCTCGATTTGCGAAGAACTTGGTTGATACATAACAAAGAAAGATTGATAAATATCCGTGGGCATTGAGGCCCCAGATACATGAATTTATACAAGATTCGAAATATACCACCTTTCATTAGGTGGTAGATGCTGCAACTGAACATGATTTATAGTTTAAACACCAAGAAAAAGAAGTGGTTAGAGATACATAAACAAGAGTAGAAAAGCATCATTAGGAAAGAAAGATTGAAGGATCCTCAAAAAATGGAATAGTGTCAAGAAAACCATATCCCACCGGTTCTAGAAGAGATGATAGTAAATGGTGCAAAAAGTGTCGCTAAAGACATGTGGGAGCTTGTGATAGTACTCACGCTCCATTGAAATGCTTCTAGTGTAGTAAATCAGAACACACAACATGAAATTCTTTGGTGAGTAGATCACGGTGTTTTAATTGGGGAGAAGGTGGTCGCTTTTATGTGAATTGTATGAAGATGAAAGCTAATGTACCGAGGAATGTTGGGCGAAGTGATCAAGGAGAACAAAGGGATATAAAGAAAAACAAATGAAAGAACGTTGCTATGAGAAGATGAGCTTTCTAGATGACTACCGAGGAAGCTACAGACAAATCCGATGTTATGTTAGATACCTTTACATTAAACTCTCTCCTAGTATGTGTTGTATTTGATTCGAGTGAAACATTTTCATTTGTGTATAGTCGATTTACTGAAAAATTAAATATACTGTTAGCCCCGTTTTCTTGTATTGGCAGGTTATTACTGATGGTTTGTAGAAAACGTTTCCTTAATTATAGCATCATTGACGAAACTGACAAGGAAAAACAAGAATTTTGCCTGGACAAATGCTCAACAACAATCATTCCAACAATTAAAAGAGACTTTGTGTCAAGCTCTAATATTATCTTTACCATAGGGAGAAGCTGATTTTGTTGTTGATATTGATGCTTTCTGGGTCAGTTTTAGATGTGTTTTAATGTAAAGAGGTCGGGTAATAGCTTACATGTCAAGACAATTAAAAATAGTCGAAAAGTCATATCACGTTCACGATTTAGAACTTGCTATGGTAGTTTTCGCCTTAAGTATATGGCTATATGGGGTTAAGTTTTAGATTTTTACCTACCATAAGAGCTTGAAGAATTTGTTTGATTAAAAAGAGTTGAATATGCGACAACGAAGATGGATGTAGTTACTTAAAGATTATGATTGTGAGATCCATTATCATCCGGGAAGAGAAAATGTGGTTGATGACGCCTTGAGTTGAAAAGAGAAACCAATTGTAATTACTTTCGTTTGAATAGAAATCGTTAGCCGACTACCAGATTTGATTAGAGAAGACCAAAAAAGTGGTTGAAAGACTTGAGAATTTGAAAAAAGTAGAAATGGTTAACTATGCTAATCAATTAGTTGAAATTTCCTAAGGTATATAGATGTTCATGAGGTGCATATGGATCATGAGACATGGTGACACACGAAAACTATTACTTGATGACACCCATTATATGCAATATATGGTACATCCTGGTAGTACAAAGATGTACCAAATTTTTAAAATGATGTATTGGTGGCCAGTAATGAAAAGAGATTTTGGAAGATATGTCGAAAGTTGTTTGACCTGTTTGCAAAGGAAAACAAATCACTAGAAACTGGGACAAGAAATCAAATCATTTCCTATTCCTATGAGAAAGTGGATGAGATTGCCATGGAATTTGTTACGAAGCTACCATAAACTTCACAAGGATATGATTCCATATGGGTTGTGGTTGATCGTTTAACAAAATCCGCTCAATTTATACCCATAAAAGAAAGCTTTTTAGTTGATCGACTAGCTGATGTTTGCATCAAAGAGGTGGTTAAATTCCACGGTGTGCCAATTTCCATTGTATTTGATCAAGACAGTCGATTTACATCTCGATTTTGGAAGTTTTGTGGGAGCAGATAGTTTCTAAAATATTGATGAGCACTATTTATCATCCTCGTACTGATGAGCAAAGTAAGAGGATGATCTAGACACTTAAATATATGTTACAAGCTTGTGTGATCGATTTTGGTGTTAACTGGGATGAACATCTACCATTTGTGGAGTTTGTATATAATAATAACTATCATTCCAGTATTCAAATGACACCATTTAAAGCATTATATGGGATGCTGTGTAGCACCCCAACCTGCTGGAATGAGGCTGGAGAAAAACCGTAGCAAATCTGAAATTGTTGAAGAATCTGAGACCAAAATTAGAGAAATCAGAACATAAATCTTTATCAACAATTGTCTTGAATTATGAAATATGTATGAAATCATAAATCACAAATCTTTCTGAACTCTTTGTATTAATACATAAATTAGAAATCTCTTTGGTGGTTTTCTTAAATGTTAATCAACACATTTCAAAATCTTTATGTTAATTTAAGTTTATGATGTTCTTGAAGAAAATATTTCAAAAGAGTAAAATAACTATTTTTATAAATCAACACAAAATGTTTAACCAAATATTATATTTTTAATGAAAGACAGATTTAAAAAAAAAATCCCTAGCTCCCTTGAAGCTCTATGGTTTTCAGATCTTAATCTGACAAATCCTACCCAACAACCATTTAGAAGAAAGAATTGCTAACACGTTCTTCCTAAAGAAGTTCTACTTTGATAAATTGTATAAAATTATAATATATACATTCAATATTTTCTTCTTACCAAAGTCTATTGAATAATAGTAATTTCATATTATAGAAATGAAACTTGTTTTATATCAAACGAAAGGATATTAATGTTGTAATAAAAAAAATATGCTACTATATATAATTATAAACAAATCAATAATACCATACATCGTTAAACAGAATGGCCATTCTAAGAAACGTCGTTGACAACTAAACTGGAGTGAGCCCAAATCAACACAAGATATCGAAAGAGTGCAGGGAAGAGGTCAACTCCCCCCTTTACTCATCTTATATAACTCCCATTACATCCACTCCATCTCCCTCAACCCACCTTCGATCTTAACAAACCCTAATTACAAGAACCAGCTTAATCGATACTTCTGAGTTCTTCCTCTAGTCCAACAATCATCATGAAGATTATGCAAATAATCTTCATGGTAGCCATCACCATCACCATCAGTATCGCCGTCACCACCCTCACCTTCAGCTCCACCGCCGCCACCAACACACCATCGCCAGTGACCATAAGACCCTTTCCTGCACGTCCTCGGAGCCGTTTCCTTGCTGAGAAAGAGCCCAACCCTAGAGCTGCAGATCACTGTAATAAAGACGACGAGATTTGTTACGTCTTGGAAGGAAAAAACTCGACTTGCTGCAATAACAAGTGCATGGATTTGAGCGAG